AGTCACACCATATCTATCCATTTCCGGTGCGATTAACCCTTGAGAGCACTGGATCGCATCGATCAAGGCGGGCAGCATTCTGGGGCGGAAGGGGGCGTGCCGGTGCCATTCATGTCAATGGCACTGCAAACACGTCCCCACCCCTAAAGCAGTGCGATCACCCAACCTGGAACGCAAGGTACAGGAATGCCCTCCGTTCCGGGAGAATGCAATCTGAAAAAATAGTGCATGCTGCATTTTTTCCAATCGCACTGCGCTGGGCGATCGCACTGCGGGCCGGGGACGTGTCTACAGTACCATTGATATGAATGGCACCGACGCTCCCCCTTCCGCCCCAGAATGCTGCCTGGCTTGATCTATGCGATTCAGTGGACATGGTATGGCTGGGCCCTCAAGGCCTCATTCACACAGGGTGTGGGATGGTTCATGCAGTGTAATGGGATGGTTTTTGGTGTGCCCGGAGCTGTGGGAAGAAGCGTGCAGGCAGCTCATGTAACTCTATGGAGATACAGGAGGTGTGCGCCCTTACACAGTGGTGTCACAAGAGGGGTGCGACCTGCACCTGACACCATCGGATGGGGTGACATCAATTTGACTGACAAACATTTTGGTGTCACCCCCTCTGAGAAGTCAGGCACTCGGTCATGGACCAAGAGCCTGACAATTGCACGAGAGGGGAGAGGACCTGGCGGCATACTTTATCCCGCCAGGTGAACTTACTCTCTTCTCTTTGTCGTCATCAATGCCCAAGCATTACAAAAAATAGGTCACATTAGCTTTTAGTATGTTGGGGCGTGTTGGCAGCCGATCCATTTCAATGAGCTGCCTTAATGCAACGGACGTTAGCGCACCACAAAGAAGCACATGGGCTATTAATTGAAAGAGAAGCAAAACAAGAAAAGAAGCAAAAACTGGCCATTAGACATGTAAAGGCTCAAAAACTTGTTTAGTTTCAAATCGATTAATTCTTTTTTTCAGATAATGGATCCTAATTTGATTCAGTTTGTTATTCGGAATTCGGATTGATTCAAATTTCTCATTTTCGGTTCAGATTGATACAAATGTTATTGTTTTTTCAGTTCAGATCGATATGAATTTTTTTTGTGTTTGGTTAGGATCAATTAGAATCTATTTGGATGGAGTCTATTATATTGTTAAACGTGAAAATTGGGATGAGAAAAATAAAAAAAAAAGCGTGGAGCCCACCCCAAATGTAGGAATTTTAGAAGGCAAACAAAAATGTGCGGTCCCCCCAAAATCCCTTACCAGACCGTTGATCTGAGCAGCATCCTTGCAGAGCATGAAATGTGGCCTGGAAGGGTGCAGAGAAGAGAGGGGGTGCACGATCGCACCCCCTCCTCTCTGGACCCTACTAGGCCAGATGCCCTCAACTTGGGGAGAGTGCTTCGCCAGGGGTGACCCCCCTGTCAAAGCACCTTGTGACAGGACAGGGCCCTGTTGAGGACAAGGGCCTTTTCCCCACCCTGGGCCGGTGGTTGTGGGGATCTGTGGGCAGGGGGGCTTTTTATAAAGGGGGCACCCAGATGCCACCCCTTCCTCGTGAATGAGTAAGGGATAGTTGTTACCCCTACTCATTCACCAAATCGACAGTAACCTAGTAAATAAACACACCACACACTTTTTGACAGGTTCTTTATTAAAAAAACAAAAAATGTTCCATGTATGTAGCAGCAACTACCCCTTACTCATTCATGAGGGGGGTGACATCTGGGTGCCCCCTTTATTAAAGGGGGCACCCAGATTCAGATAAGCCCCCCCCCAGATCGCTCTATCAGATTGTCATGTGTATGGTCAGAGAGTTCTACAGAGAATATAAAATGGAACATTAAACATTTCCTTGTGTGTTCAGTCTATTTGTCTCTACAAGTGCTGAGTTCTGCCCTGATCACACAGCAGACGTGATAATGAAAGTGATGGCTGACAGCTCTCCTGAAACTGGCACCTTTGTGTAACCAGCTCCGCCTCGCATTGTAGCCTACGGTCCCCCGGTCGCCAGCGACAACCATCAACAAACCCTGCGTCCCGGGGAAACTGAGTGAAATGAGAGCTGGCTAATCTGATTCACATATTACTGAGATTTCCTAGAAACTAAAGTCACGCAGAATCAATCTGAGCATCTTCCAGACAGTAAGTATAGTATATTCTGTCCCATTTATGTGGGACGGCGCTGACAACTGGACATGCTTCTTAAAACATGTGGAAAACAAACTTGTTTTTGTTTCTATAGGGCTTGTGTACAGGGGTGTTGATGGCTTTTTGCAATGGTGCTCAAATGTATTTGTTTTGAATGCAAAGTGCAGCAAAGACAGCAGTCAGTAATGTCACAAGGGGGTTTCTGGGGGGTGCAGCCTGCACCAGGTGACATCATCAGATGGGGTGGCACTAAAATGACTCACAGTCATTTTGGTGTCACTCCCTCTGAAAAGTAGGGCACTTGGTCATGGACCGATGTCAGTTAGCGTGCTTTGCCTTCAACGCAAACACATTTTAGCAGGACATTTTGCGTCCACAGAAACGCAAGCCAAAGCAGGTCAAACGCAGCCACAGAACTGTCATCCATACTACTGCATATGAGGTAAAAGGGAATCTGCTGATCTGCATTTGAAGTGCGTTATAAATGCAGAAAACAATGTCGGATTATGGGCGCCATCGCGCTGGAAAAAAAGAGCCCTTAGGACAGGGGTGGGCAACTCCAGCGCTCCAGCTGTGCTTTAACTACAAATCCCAACATGCCTCTGTCTCTGGGAGTCATACCTGTGGCTGTCATAATCTTGCAATGCCTCATGGGACTTGTAGTTCCACAAACAGCTGGAGTGCCAGGGTTGCCAACCCCTGCCTTAAGGAGCCTATGCATTGCACAATGTAGGTATCAAGTATGGATTATAACAGGGGATATTGGATTGGCTTGGATAGTGGATTCCTAACAAGGGACTGATGGAGATTTGGAACAAGAAGGCTGCGCAATTTACATCTGTTGACTCAACTGCGGTCTTTGCCATCTTGAGGTGCAAGTACCGATCAGCTGATATCTAGCTGCTGCTCTCTCTTGTCGATTATATTTGGCCTGGAGAAGATATAATGAATATGTTCTTGAACGGCTCAGTAGTTAGCTCTCTTTATTTAAAGCACTGGAGTCCTGGGTTCAATACCCACCAGGAATAGGAGATGTGCATGCCGTTTACACTTCTCTTTCTATTGCTTTCTCACAATTCAGCAGGTGGGTTACTTTGCTAAGTGCAACAACTAAGAGAAAGATGGCGCTTTTAAGACCCAGTTCAACATAAAAACACAGAAATCACATATTATAAAAAGATAATTTTCTTTAATTATTAAAATTCATGATTAACATATCAAAGAAATATAATCAAACTGACATATGTCCACTGTCTCCCCATCCGTTGGCCCGCATGGTTCCCTACCTCCCTCACCTCCCTGGTTGTATGGTATGGCTCTCCGGCAACGCAGGCACGCCCAGTATGACAGAGATCCCACGAACGGCACCCCCTAATTTCCCGATGAAGCCTTGGGCGAAACGCGTAGAAAATTGGACACGTTATAGAACTACTGAGCACTTTTGGATGAATATGACTATTTATGAAATTCTACAAAGATACTTTAAGGAGATAAATGTTAATAGGTTATTGTCATATATACAGTATGTATCTATATGTGTTCCATTGAGGTTTTGTGCCATTAATTGAAATCAGTGGACATATGTCAGTTTGATTATATTTTCTTGATATGTTAATTATGAACTTTAATAATTAAAGAAAATTAAATTTTTATAATCTGTGATTTTTGTGTTATTATGATAAACTGGGTCTCTCTGCATTTGGTAATTGACACCTTAAAAGCCCCATCTGTCTCTTAGTTGTTCCATTCTGTATATTCAGGGGGGTGGTGTCCCTGTTCATGTGGTGTTTCGCTATTTTGTGATTAAATACTTTGTTAAGTGACCTAAGATTTGTGCGAGGCCTTATTAAAGTGTACGTATCGTCCATAACGTTTGGTTTTGGCCAGTAAAGTTGAAGTTTATGTAAAAGCAAAACTTTTTTTAGTTTTGGATAGTCGGGAACGGTTAGACTCTCTGATTGTTGGCTGTCTATGTCCCGTTGGGAAAATTTCCCTTCTATGGCTGTCTTGTAGACACAACAGGAAGTGAGAGGAAATGGTTCCAAAGTGATGGAAAGCCCCTCATGGACTCCAGTCATACCTAAGCGTTGTGCGTACGCTCGTCACATTCATGCGCATTTGTTTTCTGTGTTTGCCATGCGTCCCTATTGATTTCAAGGGGGTCCTGAACGTACGACAAATGCAGAAAAGTAGAGCGTGTAGCAAATTCTGCAACATGTATTCTATGTGTTTGCCAAGCTGGATTTGGGGTGCCATTACCTGGTGCTTGCACTGCAAGCGTGTTTCACGATGTTTACGTGTTTCACGGACGCGCTTTAAAGAGTGCATCTTTTTGCACGTTTGAGGCACATACACGAAACGCTCAGGTGTGAATGGGGACTCAGGGACCTTTCCCATCAGTAGTGTGCACTAGGAATAGACCAACATGGATTTTTCAGTCCCAATACAGATTATTGGCCACCTTTCAGGCCGATAACCAATATCAGGTACCAATATTCTGTTTACATCCAACAAGTGCCTGCACGAAGAAGGACCCCGCAGGGGGTAAAAAAATGGAAGAGGGGAAAGGCTTGGGAGAGTCATGTGACCACGGCTTTAGGTAAGTTAAAAGGGTATTTAGGTTTTGTTTTTTTTAACCCCATCGAGCAGTTAGAGGGGGTGGGAGGTCGGGGTGGGAATGGAGTTATTATTATCCTGGAGATGGTCTTTCATTTATGGTTGGGCGTCATAACACTTCCTAACAAGATCTATGATTATGTCTTATCACCCAGATCTGAAACCCTTCATGTCTGTGCTGGTTATACTTCCTTCTATTCTCCTCTAGTAAAATCATGTTCTTTTGTCAGGAAAACAAGAATGATCCCAACTGGCTGGGGGCCCTCGCCCGCTGCGGAAACAGCACGCCGCACTTCGGAGAAGGCTCAGATCCAAGATATTAAGGAAAGATTTGGTAACTACATCCGGAATGTAAAGTCTATGAGGAATCAGATAAAGCAGGTAAAACCAGTCAAACCTGAAAACTTTAAAACACTGAACATCGCATGATTTAAAGATAAAGGTTAATAAGAGTTAAAATTAATTAAATTGAATGTAGACAATGCCCCAACTGTCAAAGGCGTTTGTCATCACACACTAGAGAAGCACTATAGGCAAGGCTGTCCCTATAATAAGGCAGTCTGAGGCTGTTGCCCCAGACGGCATCTCTTTGGGTCACACGGGGGTGGGCAGGCAGAGCTGCAGGACCGTTCTTCTGCAAAATGTTTGCAGAGTGCCTGCCCCCCTCTCTTCCCTTTCCAGCCAGAGCGTTCCAGGTTGCTAAGGGCCATACACATCTCTCCACCTAGCTACCTGGGATGCCCCGGCCGGCGTCCCGCCCTGCTTCTGGCAACCAGTGACGTTAGTGAGCTGGGCAGGATGTCGGCCAGAGCTGGGCAGTGTGAAAATCCTCCCTCTGCCTCAGGCAGTAAATACGCTAGACACCGCTGACTATAGAGGTTATCTGGAAAAGAACAAGCTTTGTCTGGGGTTTGGACTTATTAAAACTGAACTCTGAGGAACTGACAAAATTGGCCGCGCAGTGGGGCTCAGTGTCCTCACTTACTAGAGATGAGCCTGAGCCCAGTTCGGCCAAGCACACTCAAAACCTTGACCGCCTCTACCCTCCTCCTGGCCTAGTCAGTGGAGGCAGTTGTGGCGGGAGCCCATTTGTGATGTATAACTATAGGGCATTAAACTGATTGGGTCAGGAGGGGGTGTAGCCGTCACAGTTTTGAGTGGGCTTGGGCAAAATCAGATGAACTGAGTTCCAAGCCCAGCCCCATCACTACTTACAGGTGAAACTCGAATAATTAGAATATCGTGCAAAAGTAATTGCAGTAATTGCTGCAAAAGGGGCCCAAACCAAGTACTGAGTACATATGCATGCTTGTACTTTTCAGAGGTCCGATATTGTTCTATGTACAATCCTTGTTTTATTGATTGCATGTAATAATCTACTTTTTTGAGGTTGTGGATTTGGGGTTTTCATGAGCTGTAAGCCATAATCATCACAATTATGACAAATCACGGCTTGAACTATCCTGCTTTGCATGTAATGAGTCTATCTCATATATTAGTTTCACCTTTTAAGTTGCATTAGTGAAATAAATGAACTTTGCACGATATTCTAATTATTCGAGTTTCACCTGTACAATGCAGGAATGCAGGTCCTGTATTGTATGTGATGGCAACCAGTGTCTTCCTTAGTCTTTTTGCCACCTTGGTGGTGGTGGTTGAGTGACGCCATCCTCCCCACCTGGCTTGGTGTCCTGCCCAGCTCTGGCAACCAGTGACATCACTGGTTGCCGGGTGTACTGATTACAGTATGGCTGATTTCAGCTTTACATTGGCTAAAATCAGCTGTACACCTGCTGCCTTCGGCTGAGCTGCTCTGCATTGGCATAGACATGCTCTGCATAGGGGCCGAAAAGCAGTGAGTGAATAGCCGAATTCCGCCGAGCGGCATTCGGCTTGGCTATTCTGCTTGCTACTTCCGAGGTAGCAAGCAGAATAGAAAAAAAACGTAAATAAATGAAAAAACAAAAAATAAATGTTTTAAAAGTGTTCAAAAGAATGTAGAAAAATATGAAAATTAAAAACAAGTTAAGAAAATAATAAAAAAAGATTTTAAAGAAAAGAAAAAAATAAATACATATATAAAAACAAACAAAAAAATGATGCATGCCAACCCGACCGACATCACCACCAGCTCCGCCCAACTGATTACTATGGGCCGGCACCTGCCATAGTCTTCTACCAGGTCCTGGGCAACAGGCAAAAAAAAACAACTTGTTGATATTGTTTAATGACAGGTCATTTGAGGACGCTGATCTTTCATTACTACTGGGCAGAGCCCATTACTACTGGGTCACGGCGCCCCTTCGCCCAACCTTTCTCCACACTTTGGGTGTCACTAAAGCTCAGCATATGGGTTTGGCTCGGCTGCCTTCGACTGAACCGAAGGGCCCCGGTGGCCGAAGTGAGGCTGGATCCTTCGGCTCTATAGTGAATAACCCTCTATAGATCTGACATGGTCTGACTCGATGTACATTGCTGGCATATGTTTTTTTTTTAAATGCCTCCGCAAAGGTGGAAATGTCATCCAGTTAGTATCTGCTGTGTGTAGTGTGAGCTTTGCAGTCACTGGGGAATGCTGTGAGTGGATATCGGGGTTTCTGTTTTCTCAGATACATACAGTATCATGCAGTGATAGCTCTCACAATGCAAACACTATAAAGCTTTTGTTTTACGGTCTCAAATCATTATCTGTCCAATCCAAAATGTGTTTAATTTCCTCACAGCACAAAACTCAGTTTCCTGTGACCGCTCTCATGTAAACAGCGGCTTAGTCAGAAGACAATCAAATCAATGTAAATGGTATAGTCCAGATCCTAAATAGTTTCCAGTACAGATAGCATTGTTTGCCATTCAGTGTAGTCTAGTGTTTTTCTAGGGCCCATTCATACTATCGTTATAAACCAGCGATGCCACACATGGCACCCTTTAAAAGTTGCAAAATCTCGAGGCGCCCCAGACTAAAATGTAATGGATTACATTTACAAGTTTCTACCTTTCACATCAAAGTTCCCCCTTCAAATCAGATGCATCGTTTTACATCAGAGCCCCCACCCCTCTTCATATCAGAGCTCCTCTCTTTCACATCAGAATCCACCCTTTGTTATCAGAGTCCCTCTTTACATCAGGAGCCCCCACTTTACTTTGGGAGTCCCTCCTTTCACATCAGAGTCCCTTCCTTTTAAGCTCAGACATCAGAAGCCCCCTTCACATCAGATCTCCTTTCTTTCACATCAAAAGCCCCCCTTCATATCAGAGCCCCTCTCACATCAGAGCCCCCTTTTGCACATCAGATGCCCCTTTCACATCAGAGCCCCCTCCTTTCACATCCTAGTTCCTGCTTCACAGCAGAGCCCCCTCCTTGGATATCCGAATCCCTCTCTGTCATATCAGAGTCCCTCTTTACATCAGAGCCCCCCTTCTTTCAAATTTGAAGCCCCTCCTTTATATCAGAGCCCCATTCTTTCACATCAGAGTCCCCCTCTTTCATATCAGAATCCCCCCTTCAGATCAGAGCCCCCTCCTTTCACATCAGAGTCCCCTTCTTTCATATCAGAGTCCCACTCTTTCATATCAGAATCCCCCCTTCACATCAGAGTCCCCCTCTTTCAACCCCTCCATTCACAACAGAGTCCCCTTCTTTAATATAAGAATCCCCCTTCACATCAGAGCCCCTTCCTTTCACATCAGAATCCCCCCTTTTCAGTAGAGTTCCCCTTCACATCAGAACAGTACAACTTGGACCAAGAAGGAGGAAGACCCTTGAAAACATATCATGAACAATTAACTGTTAACAAAAATAAAAGTATCATGGACATCTGGGTTGTTGATTTCCTATTTCCTTTTTATCACTATAAAGCCGTCTAGTATATCTAAAACATATTCACATATTATAGGTTCCCTTGAAGGCTTTTGGGGTTTTCATTTACCTCACCGGAGACTAAAAACTGCTGCAAGATGAGCAGGAGGATTGTTCTCTATTGTGAAGAGTGTCTATTCTCCCCGTGGCTCTTCACTATAATCCATCTTAACCCGCCAATGTCATATCCCATTGTCGCATAAATCTATTTTACATGTGAAAATAGTAGCGCGTGTTTTCAAGCACTGCAAGGTAATTACCTCTGCGCTAATGCAGTATATAGTGATATTAATTTTTTTTATGGCAGTTTACTAATTGATGAGGAAGTAAATGCAGTATAACTATACCTGTGGGGTAAAAAAACATGCTCAGAATTACAATTAGAGCATGAATAAATCAGCAATTGTAATTATTTATCTCTTCTGGAGTGCTTTTCAACTGCTCATTGTCAATTTGCCTGGCACCTGAATAACAAATTCAAATAAAGGTCCTTATGTGTAATCTTCAAGTCATATTTTCCCCCCAGACTGTATTAGACAGATGAGTCACCCAGAGCAGCTGACTTCTGGGTGGTTTGCTGCCCTGACTGACAAGCTCTGCACTACAGGCTGCAAAAGTAGGGTATATTATGTATCAAAGGGGCCTTAGTACATTTCTTTTCTTTTAGGCCCCGTTCACACCATCCTCAGTGCGTTCCGGCCCGATTGTGGCCAGAACGCACTTGATCACATTGCGGCCGTCTCAGTTTGGTGTGGGGCGGGAGGGGGCATGGCGATGCATTAAAGCGAATGGAACCGCAGCTACGCTCTCTGGCCGCAATGCGATCGGACGCACGGGAATGCAAGGCACATCAATGCCTGAGGTCCGGTCAGAAAAAATTGTGCTTGCAGCACAATCGGGCCAGAAAGCAGTGAGGATGGTGTCAACGGGGCTTTAGCATGCTTACTTATGTCGAGAACAGTTTTGGCTATAATTACACTTTAGGAAACGTGAAAGTCCAAATTGCTTTTTTATGTAGATTTGTGGGAAACTGACGGCTGCAATTTTCATGATCCTTTCACACATCTCTTTTCCCATTTTTAGATAATTGCACATAATACACAGGAGCATAATTTTGATGTTGTGTAGCTCAGTCCAATGTGTATTTTTACAAGCATATCCGCTATATGGCCAAACATTTGTGGACACCTGACTATCATATCTACATGAGCTTGTTGGACATCTCATTCCAAAACCGTGAGCATGAATATGGTCTTCACCTTCCCTTTGTGGCTATAACAGCCCCCACTCTTCTGGGAAGGCTTTCCATAAGATTTCGGAGTGTGTCTGTGGAAGTTTGTGCCCATTCAGCCAAAACAGCATTTGTGAGGTCAGGTACTGATGTTGGTTTGGAAGCCCTGGCTCATAATTGGTGTTCCAGTTCATCCTAAAGGTGTTTAGTAGGGTTGTGGTCAGGGCTCTATGAGGGCCAATTAAATTGCTCCACACCAAACTCATCAAACCCTGTCTATATGTGGCTGGCTTT